TAGATATCGGCTGCTTTAATTGGCTAGTGAACATCAGGCCGGGCTACTTGACTTTCCGGGTGGGGAATCAGTGTTTTATAGAGCCGTATCTACCTTGCCGATTCGCTCGCCAGTTTGGTTATGACCAGCTTTATGTCGGGAACCCGCGCCAGCAGCTTCGGGCTCATGGAGGTTTGGTGGACGGTCTTCGTGCATGGTTGTGGACCGTGACAGGCTGCACTGGTGCTAGGTTCAGTCTCCCGGGTACTGAGCGGCAGTTGAACCTCACTTTCTTGAGCTGCAAGTGGTTGCTAGCAGCTAATAAGACTGTCCACTGTCCCTGTGAAGCCTATTGAAGAGTTGGTGGCCGAAGAAGCCTCTCAGATTGATTCTCATGTGATCCGGGACGGTGCTCGGTCACAGAGGGCGCGGGGCAAGACCCGCCGACTTGATGCAGAAGGTCATAGGGCCTTTAGTTCTGCTGGAGAGGCCTCAGGCGGAGATCCTGAAGACTACGAGGCAGATTTCGAGCGAGGTTAGTCTCTCATCTTTTCTTTCTGCATTTCCAAATTGTTATTCCTGACCACTATCTGATATTTTAGGTACAGCGACAAACAGTGAAGAGGAATTCCGTCCTTTTATCCGGGCAAGACCTTCGACTACTATCCGTGCTGATAGGCGGAAGAGACTAGCCCATAAGCCGCCTGCAGGTTCGCGGGCATCTGAGATGGACTTGGCTGGGGGTGATCCTGCTAGTGACAGAGGTAACATCTACTCTATAGATCATTCTCTTGATCGTTTAGATTTTTAGGCTCATGCTTTCCCATTCTATGCAGGAGAGCGCGAGGAAGGGGAGATGGGTTTCGATCCTGCTCCTCATGAGTTTGTATCTTCTGGTGAGCCTGACTCACCTTACCAAGTAGAAAACCCCTCTTTAGGGAGGCTACCAATGTAGGACCTGATTCAGTGAATCCAGATGCATCTACGAGAGGTAACTCATTTCGATTGGTCATAGTCTCTTTATTATTCTTTCGCACTTATACCCTCTTGTGTCAGATTTTTCAGTTGACGATTTCGACGAGGAGGGTTTGCCTATGGACACTTCTATGTTCCACTTCATGTATGACTCTCCTCAGATTGATGGCCAGCTGCCCGAGGATATGTTTCCTGAGCCTGCACTCCCTCAGGATCCCGAGAATGGTTCTTCTGACGGTACGTGCCTCTTCTCAAGTTAATTACAGGACTAGCCAAATTTTTTTTGGCTAATGCAGCTATAATGTGATGTGTCTGATCATTCTGTTTTGTGCTTAACAGGAGCTTTTGCTGATACTGACCCTGTTGAGCCGGCTGTGAGACCAACTCCACCAGTTGATACACCTACAGTCGTCACACCTCCACTACCCCCAGTGACTCAAGGGGAAGGAGGTATGAATTAAGCAATTTATGAATATCCTTTATTTCTTTATTGAAACTTCTTGACAGATTTCTCCTTCTTGTGTAGGGCCTTCCTCTCGGCTTCATGTCCTCGTGAAGGAGTTATTATCAGACAATGACCCTGAGAAGATCGTCATCTGCATAGAAGTCTGCTCTTTCTTCTCCTTTATGAATGCCATGATTGACAAGCTCTTCCACGGCGGACTTTCCCTTCACCAGT